CAGATGCAGAAATCCACAACCAAACATTGCAGAAGAGGGGAAGGAAGGATTGTAGAAGCCAGAGGGTCAAGAAACCAGGAGACCACAGTCTACAGAATCAACTAAGCATGTTTCATAGGTGTTCACGGAGACTGAAGCAACAATTACGGAGCCTGTATTGGTCTGAGCTATGTCCTCTGCGTATATGTTATGGCCATGTAGCTTGATATTCTTGTAGGATTCCTAACAGTGGGTGTGGGCTGTCTCTGACTCTTTTACTTGCTCTTGGGACCCCTTTCCTCCTACTGAGTTCTCTCACCCAGCCTTGATATGAGGGGTTGCGCCTGGTCTTATTGCATATTGTTAGGTCATGTTTAATGGATATCCCTGAAAGGCCTGGTCTTTTCTGGAGGGAATTAGAAGAGGAGTGAATCTGGAGGAGAGGAGAGGAGGTGGGAGACTGAGAGGAGAGGAGGCAGGAGAAACTGCTGTTGAGATGTAATATATAAAATAATAATAAAAATAAAATAATAATAATAATAACAATAATAATTATTTGGCCTAGTTTCCCAAACAGGTCGGCTCTTTCCTTTTGTCTTCTCAGACATAAATTGTGGCACAGCATATGGGTGTGTTTTGTTTAGGATAGGAACTGGGTGGGCCAGATCACAGAGCAGGTCACACTAAGGGATGAAGGTAGGGCTGGCCAGACTATGTGACTGAGGATGGGAGCTTCGGGTGACTCGATAGTAGCTGAGTTGGAGAGCAAGATCAACAGTGTGGGCAATTAATCAATCATCAGGCAATCATGGTTATGGAAGAAAGCCTGTCAGCTCAAAGGATTGTTTATTCTTAGGATAAATATAGCGACCATGGCTTGGGAACAGATTTAGTTACTATCAAGTCCTTGTCCCAATGTGGTAACAATTTGATGAGGTTTTTATATAATAAAATTCATAAATGAATTTTATGCACTTATGCAATTCATAAATGAAGGCATTTTAAAATTACATTGGTGGAAATGTGGGGTGAAGCAAAGTAGAGAAAGATGTAATACAGACCTCATATGCTATCTAATGGCATTCTTAGCCCTTTGGTTGGTGGAAATGACGGTTTTCTAACATTCCAAACGTTTTTACCTGACATAGAAGTGGATGAGTGATAACTATTAAAGTAGCTAAGGGTAGCCTAAGATTAGTTGCGATTAGGCCCTGGACCTGAAATGACCCCAAATCTCCACACCTGTTGAAGTTCTAAACTTAGCAAGCCAAATCACCCAAGCTGGAGCAGTAGAGAAACTTCAGCACTTTTGCAATCATCTTTAAGAATAGAAATTATACTCACAAGGGTTAGAAATTTATGTAATAAAGGCAGTAGATGTAGCCTGAAAGATGCCAATTCCAGAGCTCTATAATGGCAATGGGGCAAAGGAAGAAAAATGGAATTAAGGTGAGGGAGTAAAAGTCTCATAAGAGACTGAATGGTAAGGATCATAAATAAAGCCAGAATAAATGAAGAAAAAACAAATGATGAGGCCTCAGAAGATGGAGTGAGCTGAAAAATTGTGTCTATTTAGGAATAGAGGAGAAGAAACTTGGGCCCATAGCCCAGATGCTATAAGGAGCCAGGGTAGCAGGATTGGTCAAGTGAGAGGAAGAAGTTTGTGAAATTACCAAACAGACAGAGGCATAAGAAGAAATTCATGAGAAACATATCTTGTAGTTCACTATTTTTACTATCCAAGTTAAAATTCTCATTTGAGAACAACTCTTAAAGAGACAGTCTTCTCAAGGTCACCTCCTCTGTTCCCTGTTTTTCCATTTTGCATCACGTGTTGAACATAGGCAAAAATGAAAACACCCAGTCAAAAAGTTGCTAATATGTGCTTGGAGAAGTTACACAGAGCACACAAGTCTATATTTATTAAAACAATGGGCCAGGAGCTTTCACATTACTGCTAATATTTCACTAGGTGTCATGGGTCTGTTTAAACTATTTATTCCATCTTTACCTTTGTTAGGTCATGTATATAAAGAAATTCATTCATTTCTTTCAGTTTTTCAGTTTGGTGGAATACAGGTCTTTATGACTCTCTGAATTTTCCCAGTGTCTGTTGTAATGTTTCCCTTTTTATCTCTAATTTTTAAAATTTGAATTACCTCTTTTTTTTTGGTTAATTTAGCCAAAAGCTTGCCAATCTTGTCCAATTTCTCAAAGAATCATTTTGTTTCATTGATTTTTAGAGTTGTTTATTTGTTTGTTTCTATTTTATTGATTTCAACCCTGAGTTTTATTACTTATTTCCATCTGTTCTTCTTGGTTGTTATTTATTTTTATTTTTCTAGAGCTTCCAAGTATGTCATTAAGTTATTAATATGAGTTATTTCTGGTTTTTTATATATGTACTGAGTGCCATGAACCAATCTCTAGAACTATTTCATGTTGTCACATATGTTTAAATAAATTGTATTTTCATTTTCATATTTTAACTTCCACCTTAATTTGTGTCTTGATCCAATTTTCATTCCGTAGTGAGTTGTTCACTTTTCATGAGTTTGTAATCTTCCTTCTTATTTGTTGTTGATATGCAATTTTAATCTGTGGTGGTTAGATAGGATGCAGGGTGTTATTCCAACTTTCTTATATCTTTAAAGGCTTGCTTTGTATCTTATGTGGTCAATTAGAGAACTTTCCATGAGCTTCTGAGAAAAAAGTACTTTCTTTAGTGTTTGGATTAAATGTTCTATAAATATCTGTTAGGTCAACTTGATGCGATGTTACTTAACACCAAGGTTTTTATGTTTGGTATGACTTGATGAAGTCAACCACTACCTGTTGTGTTACAGTAAATATGTGATTTTTATCTGTAGCAATGTTTCTTTTTGAACTTGTGTTCTTTGTGTCTGGTGCATAAATGCTTAGAATTCCAATATTCTTTTAGTGAATTTTTCCTTTAATGGATACGCAGTGCCCTTCCCTATCTCTTTTGATTAGTTTTAGTTTAATGTATATTTTATCATACATCACGATAGCCATTCCTGCTTGTTTCTTGATTCTACTTGCTTGGAATATCATTTTCCAACCTTTTATCCTGAAGTGATGTCTATTCTTGATGGTGAGGTGTGTTGAAAGCAGAAAGATGGCTCTTATTTTGTAATATAGTTTGGTTTTGGGGTTTTGTAGTTGTAGTTTTTGGAGAATTTAGACCATTACTATCGAGACTTATTAATGAACAGTATTTATTGACTCCTGTTATTTTGCTATGTTGGTATGGGTACTTTTCTCTCTTATCATATCCTGTTTTTAGATTATTTATTCCTTGTTCCTTTTTGGTATAGTTAATCTACTTTACTAAAGTTTTATTCCAGTGCCTTTTATAGCAAAGTATCAGATAAATAAATAGATAAATTTGTTTTTATTGTAGAATATTTTTCATTCTTTGTCAATTGTGATTGAAAATTTTGATGGATATAGTAGTCTGGGCTGAGATCGTGGTTTTTAAGAGTGTGTTGAATATTTGTCCAGGCCTATCTGGCTTTCAGAGTCTCCACTGAAAAGTCGGGTATTATCCTAATGGACATGTGTTTACATATGACTTGATTTTTTCCCCTCTGCAGCTTTTAATATATTTTCTTTGTTTTGCATATTTAGAGTTTTATTATTGTGTGTTATGGAAAATTTGTTTTCTAGTCTTATTTAGTGTTCTGTTTGCAGATAGACATTACCATTTTCTAGGACATTGGTATATGATAAAAGTTACATGTTTAGGTCCCAAATCCTTGGGGTACTTTGGGGATATGGCCAGTATCTGAGCAATAAAGATGAATTTTGAAAAGAGATTGATTCATATATTCTGTACTTTAACATTGCATTTCTAGAAATTGATGTGAAGCTGCCTCAGCCAGTCAAGAAAATGCCAAGTCTTTGAGAAAATAGACATTTCCACTTTAACAACAAAATTATCTTTTAGGGAAAGACTAGAGTCAGTTAGGGGAAGGTGGTGCAAATAGTGTTTATTTGTATGTTTTAATATGGCCTCATTATTTCTAGGTTGAAATAAACTCACTATATAGCTGAGATCATCTTGAACTTCTAATCATCCTGTCCCTGCCTAATGTTATGACCTTTGATACTGTTCCTCATGTTGTGGTGATTCCCAACCATAAAATAATTTCTGTTGCTACTTCATGACTATAACTTTGCTATTGTTATGAATTGCAATGTAAATATCTGATATGTAGGTTGACTAACATGTGACCCAAAGAGGATTCAACCCAGAGTTTGAGAACCACTGGTTTAAAGTCATCTTCTGTATGGAGAGATCTATAGTCTATTAATCCAGTGAGATTACTAGTGTTCTCTTAATTAAACTTATCAACAGCTACAGCTTCACTGGTGGGCATGGTTTCCCTTATAGCCATAAAACAAAAGAGAAAACACCCTTCCTATGAAAGCTGGACTACAGAGCAGGAAGTCATGGGGTTACCCAGCTTTAGTGCTATCTTGCAAAATCCCTAAATCAATGCTACATTTGCTGTGGTTGAAGGAATAAATTCCTAGAGAGAAAGATAAGCATTACATCAAACAATAAAAACAAATTTCTCTATTTATTTATATATCTACTGATCTTTCACCATAGAAAATACCAGAAGAAAACTTTAGTCTAAAGATATTACTTATACCCCAAAGGAACAAGGAATACATAATCTAGAAATAGAGAATGAAAAGAAAGGGGAAGGCACCCATACAATCACATTAGAAAGGCTGAGAACCACTGCTTTAAACTGACAGTTCACAGAAATGAATAACAATCATTTTCTTTATTAAGATGTTTATTTGCAGCAAATATGACTTTTTCCTCATTTCTTTTTTTGATTCTGTTGTTTTCCATTTGGCTTGAAATTTGGGTATGGCACAGGGGTGCATAAAATTGGTAAATTAAACAGCTCAAATTCTCAAAGAAATAAATCCCAGAATGAAGTAATGAAAAGAGTAAACAAGTGAAGGTGTTCTGTTAACCCCTATTCACACTTTCCATATTTGACAAACGCGATGTGAGGTCCAAACTCCCTGAAGAAAAGAGACAGAAAGTTAGTTCCTTAAAGGAAGTGGACATTGTTTTTAAGTGTGCTTTCATACCTTCTAAATGAAGTCCTAAATTTGGGGGATGGTCATACAATTCCAATTAGTTCATCCGCTCCATACCTTACACATCCCTGCTCGATGACTTGGTTACTGAAGATGTGTCTTGAAATTTTTCCACAGTTTTTAGTATCTTGACCCATTATAGAGTAAAAAAAAAAAAATACTACGCTAGGTTGAACTTACCATCGATCAATGCAAAAGAAGCACTCATTCTTGTAGGTCAAACCGTTGGTAGCACAAACATATGCTTTCACATCTGGACAGTTTGCTTCATACTCAGGGTCTATTGGGTAATACATTTTGCATGGTGGCTGGAAGCAGAAACATCACAGGAATGGAGTTTATTTTTTTCCCATTTATCAGTTGCCTTTCACTTTTAACTCCGGCAAAAATAATATTAAATCCTACCAGTTGAATGTTGAAGAATTTCCTGTCTTCTGGACTTCCATAGGGTGTTTTTGTTTCTTTTCCATGTATGGCCTAATGTATCTCATAATCACTTGAATGATAACTATCAATAAAATTCCTGCTAAACTCTGTGTAGAGATCTCCTTTGACCTTGTCTGAATCCCAGTATGTTATTTTGTAAGAAGTTAAGGAGTATGACTTTTATGTGTTTGGTGAACTTAGAGTGGACAGGGCTTCCATGTAGTTGGTAAGAAGGAGGAATGTCTATTGACACTAGGAGTAAGGGAGGCTTGGTTGTTATTTCACTAGGTGCTCAGCTGTATCTACTCATTGTGTTTTAATTGACTATACTATTTACTAAAGTATTTTAGTGTGTTATAAGGATTATGCTGGATGGGAGGAAGTCCAGGCTGCAGAGATAAGGTGCACTTCCAACCTAGGTCATGCGAAAATCTGTCAATGTACTTCTCACCTCTGTAGAGTTTTAGACACCTTTGAGGAAAATGATCAGATTAGAACAAAAACCTAGAACTGAGGAATTTAAGTTTACCTTGGGCCAGTTAGAAAAGTCATGTGTTCTGATAAGTGCTGTAAACAGAGAACAAACATACTGGGTTAGAAGAAATAGTGTATGATGGGATATGATCTTACCCACCAGTCATTCATTTGCATAAAGCTATGTAAAGCAATTTACTGCAACAGAATTTGCATGCCATATTCCTTTGTGGACTATGCTATCTGTCTGTCAGTCAGTCTGTCTGTCTGTTGGTCTGCCTTTCTGTCTATCTATCTTCTTATTTATTTATCCTGTATCTGACTTTCACAGTTCATACTTTATTTGTACACTTGCTGCCTCACTGAGGAAAGAGCACTGGGCTGAGTGTATAGCTCAGTTGCAGAGAGCTTGTCAGGTCCCAGGTTTCAACCTCAGCACTGTAATAGATAAGTCAGTCAGTAAAATAAATGATAATGTTATTTTCAGTAAGCTTTCTTTTTCTGCAATTATGATAATTAAATCCATTTTCAGACTTGTATTAAATTACATATGATATGTAAGTAGTATATTACCACAGGTCCTACTGAGATGCTAACTTAACATGGCACATTGTTGTTAAGCAAATAGAATGAGCATCCTGGCTTTCAGGAGACTGATTGACTCTTAGTGCGGCTTTAGTTGGATGTTCTCCATGCCTATACATAGAGAACAACCACAGAAGAACAGAGTGAAGATGTGACCTACTGTAGCTGTTTCTATCTCAGGTGGCTTAAGACACCATAGAGTATTTTAACTAGGGGTAATATCCCTCAATTACAAAGTATGCTTCAGAATTTAAGACTAGGTGTATAGCTCACTAATGGAGTCTTTACATGACATGTAAAATGCCCTGGGCTCACTATCTGCATGCAGAAAAGCAAAATACTACAAAATTAAATTCAAAGCAATAGAACAAAATACTGAAAAAGTCAATTTCAGAGTAGCCAATATACATTCCCAGATAACTCATGCATACACACATATCCACCAAAGACACAGAAGCAAAAATCTGTAAAAAGAAAAATTTAATTTAAATTCATGGTATGAGTTTATTTAAAATTATACTAAAAAGCCACTTAGCACCTACTATGTTAGCTGCTGGAAAAGAGGTATTTTCATTCTTCAATGGTGATAATGTGAAAGGATGCATTTATGAAGGAAAATTTGTTAATATTGAACAACATTACAGTTGAATTTTCATCTCTCCCAATTCAATGAATTTCTTCTAAAGGCATATCTCCATCAACATGAAAACTCATATGCATAAGATTATTTATTGAGGCACTATTTGTTGTTACACACTAAGCAAATGAAACTCAAACAGAACAGTTGCCAAATGGTTTGCTGTGTCTACTCAGCGAAATTCTATCTAACTGGACAATAGAAAGAAAGGAAGACTCCTGTGAACTATGATCCCGTGGACTTCCAAGATGCACCACAGGTTGGGGAAAAGTAAGTTTTAAATAGACATCTGTAGTGTTCTATTGTCATGGAAGCAGCTAGAGGGTAACCATGTGTAACTTGCCTTTGGATAAAACACGCAGGACACCCAGAGAATTGAGAACGTATACAAAGAGGATGATTACAGCAGAAAGAAAAATCAAACTGGGCAATGTTAGCTCTTTGAATGTAACTTTTTGTTCATCTGCCTTTTCTTAAAAATTAAACTCAAATTAGAGCTGGCTTGGGAAGTTAAAGCACCTATGGCCCAAGCCTTAGGACTGAGTTAGATCCCCAAAGTGCACAGTGGAAGGACAGAGCTGATTCTTGAAAGTATTTCTCTGACCTGCACACATTGGCAAGCCCCTTCACATACACACACCCGCCTACAAAGACTCCCACACTATACAAACACTCACATACAAGACAATAAACGGTTAATGACTTGAAAACTAAACCCTTGGGTGAGCTGAGAAACTTCCCACAGGAAACTTGACATCCTGATAACATCTGTGGGCAGCTGGGATTTGGGAAACTCTTGACAAGGAACTTAACATATAGGTAAGAACTTCTATTACAATGTACAGCTTTGGGGATGCAGAAAACCCTCAAGCCTCCTGTGCCTTGGTGCAGTCTCTTTTTCCCACAGAGAATAGCTGCTCTTCATTGCTATAATAAAGGTGAACCTGCCTCTGTAGAGGTTGACATCCTTTTAAATTAATTAATTAATTAAATGAATTAAATAGCTAATTTTTTAAGACTGGGTCTTTTTATGTGGGCCTTGCTATCCTGGAACTCACTATGTAGACCAGGCTATCCTCAAACTCATAGAGATTCTTCTGCCTTTTCCTTCGAAGTGCTGGAATTAAAGGGCTGTCGAACTATACCTGGCATCCCCTTTTTGAAAATTTCAAGTTACCTTAATCAATACCCATCTAACAACAATAATTATGATATTCAAAAATTTAAAAATCGAATAAGCTATTTTAAAATAGTTTTTATGTTTTTTCCCTTCTTGTGGAAGCATATTGTTTAGTTTTCAAGATTCAGGCAACTTTTTAAAATAATTTTCTTCACTGGTGAAAAATTTGTCTAAAATGATCCATTAAATATTTACTTACTTGCTCAAATTTAAAACTTTCATGAAATAGCTCACAGAATTGATATTTTATCTTCAATGAAAAAGAACTCCACAAATTTTAATTCAATGTTGTCCTAGTTTCATGTCTGTTGCTGTAACAAATATCCTGACCTCTCACCTCCCAGCCCCCCCCCCAAAAAAAAACTTTGGGAAGAAAGGCTTCAGTTAGATTATAATTCCAAGATTTAGTTGAGACATCAAGGTAGGAAAGCAAACAATGAAGTAACATCACATCAATAATCAAAATCAGATAAAGAATAAGTGCATCCTTGCCTGCATGCCTTGCTCTTGGCAGGCTTTCTCTTCTCATACATTCAGGATGCCTTTCCTAGAGAATGGTGCTGCCCACAGTGGGCTGGGTCTTCTTATGTCAGTTAGCACTTAAGACATGCCACTGGCAAATCTGATGTAACCAGTCCCTCATTAAGACATTCTTCCCAGGTGACTCTATGTGTCAAGTTAAGACTTAAAACTGACCAGTAAAATTACATATTTAGGTTTTCTTTAGAATAAATATTATATCATTAAAATGCTATATTCAAGGATGATTTGGGTTAGTTTCATTATGTCTATTTTAGTCAGAATATAGTTCTCTTGAAACATGGATTTTCTTGCTATTTCCATTTGTTTTCACTTTTATGGTATTTTCTATATTTCCTTAGATTAAAATATCTTTATACATTTATTTATGTGCTTATTTAAAATTGTAAATACATCAGTTTCTCTCTGTGTGTATGCATGTCTGCATGTGTGAATTTGTGCTTATAAATATGTTGAAGTGTGCATGTGAAAATCAGACTTAAAGAAGTCAATTCTCTCCTTCCACCATGGGTCCTGGGAATCTAACTCAAGTCATCAGACTTGGTAGCAAGCAACATTGCCCCCAAGTCATGTGGGCAGCCTTTGTGCTAGTTCTAATTATTTACCTTGCTGGGATACATGTGTAACAGAACACATGTGAAGGGCAGAGGACAAATTGCAGGACTTAGTTCTGCTACCATGTGCGTTAAGGGGTTTGAACTCAGTTCATCAATCATGGGATCAAAAATCCTTATCTAATGAGCAATTCAATTACCACAACCACCAAGGCCATCATTAGTTAACTTCTTTTTATGTGAGATGTAATATACATCCAAAAATAAAGACTGTAGAAATTAGCATAGCATTTTGCTGGGATGGGACTAGATAAATAATGAAAGTGGATTTAAAACCCAAAGATCCACAGAACTATGGAGAAGTACACTTTAAAAATAGAGAAAAAGGGTGATCCTGTGATAAAGAAAGGCCATCTTTTCAACAAGTGATGCTGAGAAAATTAAGTACCAGTATGGAAAAAATAAAACTGTTAGCTATATATTTCATCATATAGAAAAACTAACCCAGTGTAGATTTTAAATGTCAACAGAGTTTAATACAATAAAAATTCCTGAAAGAAGCAATAAGTACAAACATTAGTGATCTTAAAGAAGCAAAGGTTACCTAGACAATACACCTGAAGCATAAAAGTCTGAAAAAAAACTGGACTTCATCAAATTTCCAAGCTTTTGTTTTTTGAAAGTCACTTAAGAAAGCCCTAAAGACTAGCCACTGACTGGCAAACATTTCCAAGAAATCTCTCTGGCAGGGGACTTGCAAACTAGACTATGTATGAGCTCCTAAAAACTAGAATTAAAACAAACATCCAACAGGCACTTCATCAGTGGCTCAATGCAAATGGCCAATAGGCTCACGAGTGTGCTCAACACCGTTATTCACTGGAGGGTTACAAAGTAAATTGCAGTGGGTGCCCATACAAGCGTCTTAGCACAGTGGAAGGTAGGAGAGGGAAAAGAAAGATGGATTTGATCAAAAAGCACTGTATACGTGTATGAAATTCTGAAACAATAAAAATAAATTAAAAATCATTTTATAAATAGGGTTGGTAATAAGAAGTAAAATGAATATTATCTTTCAAAATAAGTATGAGTCCGGCCAGACTAAGTCCTTCTGAGACCATGCAGCAACTGAAACAGTCACAGTGATAAAGGGTATGAAAGACTATGGAAGCCATTTGAGAAAAGAGTTTAGTGATTCTTTAAAAAGCTTAATTATCTATATTTTATGACTTGATTATTCCACTCTTAGACATTTATCTAACAGAAATAAGATAGCAACCCATGTGTTCAGGCCCATGACATCTGTTTTCTCAGTAGCTCAATATGAGAATAACCTAGATGTCCACCAAGGGGTGAATGAAAAAAAAAACCATAGCATATCCCAGTGGAGCATTATTCATGAATATTCCCCAATTCTAAGCTTAAGACGCTAGAGTTAAAAATGATATGTAGTACCTAGTTTTGTAGTGATGATGTCAAATGTCAAAGTGTACCTGGATATGGGGTGTGTTCAGGTGCTGAGCATGGAAAGGAGAAAATACAAAATAAATCAAGGATTCTTTTGTGAATGAGGGTTATGTTCATTGTCTTGATTATAGTCGTGGTTGTCACAAGTATGTAAATATTTAAAGATTTATCAGCAATCTAGGTTTTTGCATCAATATAATTATAGTGCTTGTTAGTCATACTCAATAGTATTTATTGAACCAAGTATTGTGACTATTCCAGTTTCATTTAACTCGGGCTCTTTATAAATAACAAAAGGTATGGCAGAAGTTCCATACAGAGCAGTTGGTTAACTCATAGCAACTGCAATTTTTAAAACTTTTAATTATTTATTTACTGTGTATGATATGTATGGGTACACATGCCACAAGATATATGTGAATGTATGAGGACAATTTTATGGGGTTTGTTCTCCTCTTCCACCTTTATGTGGGTTCTGTGGATGGAACTGAGGTTGATATATCCTGGGTTGAATCTGTATGTGTGTGTATATGTGTGTGTGTGCATGTGTGTGTGTGTTTAAGTATATATGTGTATATATGTGTGTATATATGTATGTATGTATGTATGTTTGTATATATACACATACATATTCACATATACATATATTTGCTTCCATGAGGCAGTCAAATCCTCTGAGCCATTACCCTGAATCAGGCTTACCTCTGTTAACATTTTCACATCTCATTCTTCAGCTCTGGTCTTCTGCATCCATCTTTTATGAATCCTTGTGATTATAATAATCCCAAATGAAAACTAAAAGCATAGTCAATATCCTTACCTCAAACACATCCACAAAGTCTTTTTGGCCATGTTAAGTAACATATTTATGGATTTTAATAAGTAAAGATTATACATTGTGAGGATCACTGTAGTATTACTAACAGCAGGCATATGAATTTTGTCTTTAAGTCACTGGTTTTTGCTACCCAATTACTCAGATACACAGAAACACCTTTCTTGCAGATGCCCTTGTTTTTCATCGGCATTTCCCCCACTGTCATATTTTAAAGAAAAATTCATTCTATGTGGAAATGCACAGTCTTTTCTAGGAAAAGACATCATGTTCACACAATGCATTACTTAGAATGGGAACATTAGAGTGTTCTTTGTACTAGAAGCGTTGGTTTGGTTCCAAACTTAGAGCTGAGAAAAGTCTACAATGTAGAAAATAAAGCTGAGTTTGCCTCTTAGGAAAGTACATTTTAATGGTATGAAATCTGAACTAGCAAGCTCAACATTTCATATTTCAGAAAAAGACTCCACATTCTAAGTAAATCAACAACAATAAAAAACCTTTTTCCATTCTGTAGCTTTAAGAAAATCAAATTTTTATCTACAAGGTCACTCACCTGAAAAAGTAACATGTGTCCAAGTTGAAAGTATGAGGGAGAACATGATCCTGTGGGGCCAGCAGCCACTTCTTGTCATGGCTTCTGTGAGGATGAGTAGGAAAATGCCAGTTAATTTATTTTCAGTCAGCCATACAAGTAACTTTTTAACAGGAAAAGACCCATTGCCCTTGGGAATGCTGTATCAATACAATGTTGTCCAAGGTGGTCTCACACTTAGACTTCAGAGAGCATCTGTGCTCTAAAGGATAGGGGAACTATGCCAATCATCAATCAGTCAATCAATCAACCTCTCCCTCTCTCCTTAACTCCTTTCCAACTCTGTTGGTCTATCTGTCTGCCTGTCTGCCTGCCTGCCTGCCTGCCTGCCTGTCTGTCTGACTAGCTGACTCTCTCTTTGTGCCAGAAATGACATCCCGTGTAGAATAGAAATTAGGCTCAAGATTTTTCAGGTCTGTATCATCAGCTCAAGCCTCTGTTCACTTCATCTAGTAGCCAATGGTTTTGTAAAGAAATGAGTGAGGCCCACAATAAGCGAAGCTTTTCTATTTTCACCTGCAGAGGAAACAAAGGGAAGATCTAGGAAACCAAAGTCAACAAAACTAACAATGACAACCATAGAACTCATAGAATGGAAAGGTGGACCTCTGAGAGAAAGGAGGAAAAAGAAAAGTCACCCGACTCTGACAAAGAATAAAGGAAGCAAAGAGAGGTTACCTGGATAAACTGTTGTTAGCATGAAGTGTCAGCTAGCATCAAGAAGAACCGGCTAGGGACCTGTGAAGCCACAGGGGTGAGTTCCCTGCTCAGTTGTGTGACTATTAACTTGTCTTGAGTTTCCTCTCATGGCTGTTTCTGTGTTTCAGCCCTCTTTCACGCCACCTCCCCCCTCCCCCTCCCCCCTCCCATGTGTCATGCTTCAGTGGGCTAGGACACATCTGGAGGTTGTGTGCTGTGCTTTCTGGTTATGAAAAATAGGGGATACAAACATCTTAAATGTCTAATGTCTGTAAAGTAGATTCACAGCCTGTTGCACTCCAGACTATTTGGAAAATGTTCTTGCCAGATTCCATACTGTACCCACTCTTCCCACATTTCTTCGCCCTTATTTGTTATACATTTTACCTATTTCATATTTAAGCTATGTTGTTTTCCCTCCTCTGCTAACCCAGGAAGCTCTACTATTCTTCTAGTTGGTAATATTTCCAGTGCCACCCTCTGATTTCTATATGTTTTGTTCTTGACTATACCACAAAATAGGCAATCCAGAAAACAGACTATCTGAAACAGACATTTCATACTTGACTGCATCCTGTATCTGTGGAAGTCTCAGGGCCTGACACAGTCCCTTGATGGGTCCATCAACCTTTTGAGATCTTGCTATATTTTTTCTGCTATTCTAAGTTGGAGTAAGTTAGCTCCACTTTTTTTCCAGACATTAGTTGTGATAGATAGAACAGAAATCTTCAGACTGAACTTTACAATCATGCGTCGTTAGAGATTCCCACGGAAGCCTCTCGTCTAATGTGACATGGCTGCTGTGCTGCCAGTCACACTTCATTTCCTTTCTTTCCTCCATCCCATCTGCATTGCTCTGAATAAAAAATGTCATTTTTTTCTTATAGAATGAACAACCACAAGGACACATAATCCACCACCCTACTCCTCTCCCACAAAGTTCTGGAAATTATGTCACCAAGCTTTTTCTTCTCTACTTCCACCTTATACTAGTTAGCTTGGAGATCTGAGAGTTTGTTGATTCCCCCTCCCTTTCTTCCTTTTTTTTTCCTACTAGGTCTTTGAGAGTTTTGAACTTCAAACAATGTGTTTTTATCATATTTGTTTTTTCACCAACTCTTTCCAAATATACCTTATTTCCCTTCCTGTCTCACTTATGTTCATTTTTTAATCCTTCAAGACAAAGTCATACTGTCCAAATATTCCTTGATTTGTGGTCTTCCCCTGAAACATGGTTGGCTTTACATGAACTACACTCTTAGAAAAGAAACTCTATATCCTTCTCCTAGGTCCCATGGGAATCTTCAAACAACCCAAGCTATTGCTAAGACTATAGGTTGCTCTCCACATACTAATGGCAAGGCCCATCATTGAAGACAACACCTACCAAAGTCATTGAACATGAAGAAGTGAAGCTGTTGCCTACATAGAGCCTTCACTCCTATGTTCTAATGTCTTGATACTGAAAGCTACTCTGCATACTGCCAAAAGGAAAACATTGATGCCAAATCCTTGGATTAACTGTGGTCTGACTGCTGGATGTTAGTGCAATGGTAGCACAAAACTTTTGGGAATAACTAATGTCTGATTTGACCTAAGGGTCACTCCAAGAAATGGAACCCAATCCTGGTACTGCTTGTATGACCAAAAACCTGAGATGATACAGAGACCTAGAGTAAAACCAAAAATTTACAGTTCTAAAACCAGACAAACATAACAATCAAAGGACTCCTTGATATTATGCTATGCTCAGATCAGTGCCTTGTTCAGCCATCATCAGAAAAGCTTCCTCTTGTTGCAGATGAAAACAAACATAGAGACCCATAGTTGGACATTATGCAGAGCGTGAGAGACTTTGGAACACTCAGACCTAAACTGAATGTCTCCATCAAATCCACCCTTCAAAGGTCAGGGAACCCTGCAGAAGAAGAGGAAAAGAGGTCCACAGTTTAAACCAGTTCTGAACCCTGCATAATTCAGTGCTGACCTGTTAGTCAAGATGTGTCTTCTGTTGTAATAGTGGCATGACTCTTTCAGACTAACTATTTGCTGATTGGATTGGAAGCTTGCTCCACAGGAAGAAATTTTAGGTCTGGTACTGTAATCCTGGTCAAAAACCCACAGCTGTGGAGGTCATAGGCCCTAGCAGAGAACATGCTATTGTTAATTTGCTACATGACCATGATGTCAAATTGCCTTTTAAATATTTGCGCTTATACTCATAGATATAGATTGCTCTTAACCTTATTCAGGGAGGTTTCTTGTTGCATTGGTCAACAGTCAATGGAGACATCAATAACTGGTCAAAATCCTGAGAATAAGAGACTCAGAGCTCAGCCCTGATGGAGGCATCTATAGTTACTTCACCATCACCAAAGCTCCAGGAGCATTGTAGAAGAGGAGGTGGAAGAATAATATAAGAGACAGAGAATATAGAGGCATACTGTGAAGTACTGTCTTCTGAACATACATAATACAACAGAATCATAGTGAGATCATGATCTCATAGCATCTCTGGTTACCTAAAGAAAATCTACACAGGATCAAGGAAGCCAAAAGTCCAGCATGGACAGTGTTGATGATATCCAGGCCTTGCCACATACTGAGAATAAATTGGCAGTAGATAGTTGCTAAGGGAGGGAGCACCATTTTTTTGGAGGATCTGGCTACTAATAAGTTTTCCATGCTCCAGAGGATGATCACAGACTAATGAGCATATGGTCAGCACTAATTAGACTTAGATAGTTATTTTTAAAAATAGAATTAAATAAATGAAAGAGAAGAAAAATCAAGCACATAAGACATGAAGTTGTGAGGGAGTGTCTTAAAAGGTATATTACTGGAATCAGAAGAGAGGAAATACATATAATCATATTTTATTGTATCATGCACACAATTCTCAAAAATGAACTTTTTAATTTAAAACATAAATCAAATTGTGGCAATTTTGTATGTTTTTAGGGATATGGAATTAATTTGTTACACTCAGTTATTTGATATGTCCTAGAAATAGCCAATAAGGAGATATAATTAAAAGTAGATCCAGCCTTTTAAAAATGACAATAAATACAACAGAAAGAATGTACTGAAGAGGCAGTGTATAAATCTCATTGAGGCATAGAAAAGCTGTCCTGGAAAACATCAAAGTATTCGTGGACAATTGGAAAAACACTTCATGTCGTTGCTTAGAGAAATGGAACATCTTTAAGATGTCAGCTCATCCTAAGATAATTTGTAAGCATTTTCCTTAAAGTCAATACAATAGACAGGCTTTTCCCTCCTTGAACTTAGCTAATTAATATGAAAATATGTAGAGGGGAAATTGACATAAAAAAAAAAACCACTAAAACCAAAACTATAGATTTGGAAAATGAAGCCATGACATCATTCTGAACGCATACAAAGTATAGATAGTAAAAGTACAAATAGATGTCCAAGAGATATGTAGATAAAGGTATGATCAAAAGCTTTCTTAGACTGCACTGCATCTGACTTCTCTACCTAGCCAGACTTCTGACCTCTTTCTCCAGGGTCTAAGCCTGTGAGTCTTCCTGACCTCTCCCCAATCTACCAGATCTAGCTTGGGTCCCACATTCAGTGCCACAGCCTAGTGTGCCCTTCTCTAGAGGCACTACATGTGATCTCTAGGGTTCTGCTCTGATCTTCCCTACCTATTCCCCAATCTACATGGCCCTCCCATGCCACATCTAATCTTTCTACCCAGCCAGATCTACCCCCACACTCAAAGCTTGGTTATCATTTATTCAACAGCTAATGTCAACATGTAAGTGAATATATCTTTCTGGGTCTGGGTTATGTCATTCAGAATTCTTTTTCTAGTTTCATTCGTCTGCCAATATCCTGTTGTCATTTTTTCAACAGCAGAATAATACTCTGTTGTGTTAATATACCATACTTTCCTTATTCATTCTTCTGTTGAGGGACACTTATGTTGTTTCCAATTTCTGGCTGAATAGAGCAGCATTGTATGTGATCAAGTAAGTGACCAAAGTGTCTGTCCTTTGGGTATATGCTCAAGAGTGATATAGCTAGATTTTGAGGTAGATTGATTTCTATCTTTCTGAAGGACTACCATAATGATTCCCATAGCGGCTGTACAAGTTTTCACTTCTACCAGCTATTGATGAGTGTCCCTCTTAATCTGTACCCTCATCAATATAAGCTTATCACTGAGTCATTGATCTTAGACATTCTGGTGGGAGTGAGATGACATCTCAGAGTAATTTTGTTTGCATTTCTCAACAGATTGATGGCTAAGAACGTTGAACATTTCTTTATTTCCCAAACAGTGAGTTTCCTCTATTGACAATTCTCTGTTTA